GTGTGTGGGTGTGTGTGTGTGTGTGTGTGTGTGTGTGTGATGCTGTGTTCACGTGATGTCAGCTGCTGGTGGAAAAACACGACCCACTGCCGCCATCTGGTGGTGAGTTTATACAACGACAACAACAACCATATGGCATAACCAATAAAAAAATATAACTATTTATATAAAAAAAATTAAAGGAATAAAGAAAAAAAAAAAAAAAAATTTTTAAATTACAAATATTTAAATAATCATTTTTCTTTCCACGCCTGATACAAACAGTATACTAGCCACTGGAAATATATAATTAAAATATATAATTATTGTCAGTAGAGACGCTATCCTGTCCGTTTTTCCCTCTTTGTCACTGAAAGTTTTAAAAGTGGACCCGGTTCATTTCTGTTTGTCAGTTATCCCTCAGAGGTCAGAGGTCAGATGTCAGTAACCGGGTCACAGTTTGACCTGCTCTGCAAACTTAGTACAAATACATGAGGTCTGTATATATAAAGGTACAAATACATGAGGACATCTGCAGACTATGAGAGGATAGCATGTTAGCATGTTAGCAGCAGGGGTGGAAAAAATACTTTTAGCGTCTAAACGTTAGTGAAAATACTTTTGGCGTCTAAACGTTAGTGAAAATACTTTTAGCGTCTAAACGTTAGTGAAAATACTTTTAGCGTCTAAACGTTAGTGAAGTGCTCACTGTGCAGAAAGTCTTTTGAAACAATGTTAAATAACTCAGTTTATGTCATTAGAAAACACACAAGAGGTTTTTAATGTGTTAATTTATCCCGTTTAGGGAGGTAGTATATGTGACAGAAACACACGTCTGTATGTAAGAAGTGTAAAGGGAGGGAGGGGGGAGGAAAAGGGAGAGAAACAGAGAGAGAGAGAGAGTCAGAGAGACGAGAGGACGCGAGAGGAAAACACTGAGGATTATTACTGCAAACAGGTGAGTGTGTCCTCTTCTCAAATCTGTGTCATACATCTGAGAATACTGCTTTAAAAAGTCCTTTCCTGCCTCCTGTCAGCGATGAAGTGTGGTGTTATTAATATGCAGGAGTCATGAGGTTGTTGTATTTTGGTAAAGTGGGATATTAAGGAAGTTTCTGTCAGAAAACAGTCAAATAATTGCATATTTTGACGTCTTCAAAAATGCCTTCGTCTGTCCTACACACACTCCAATCAAAGATATGTTTGATTAAGTTTAATCAGCACGTTTAAGAAGCTGGAAATATGATCTCAACATCCTTATATCCCTTTCCCCGTCTGGTCGGTTGCTTTAACAAACGTGTGTATAAATGAGAGTGAATGTCAAAAGCTTGATATAGAGAGAGGAATGAAAGTGGACAGTTGGAGGTAAAGGAATGACATCACTACGTAACACTCACGCTCTCCTATTGGCTAGCGATCCAACACATTGTACGTGATAGGAAGGGGGCGGGACATCTGTAAACTGGTTGACCAATCAGAGGAGACTGGTGTAGTATTTAAAAACTCCCCAATCACATTAACACAAGGGTTTATTTATATTTAAAAACTTTAAATACTTTTTTTAAATAGAAAAAAAAATGTTGGTTTTATTTTAAATATTTGCCAAAAATGATTGGAATCTGAGCCAATTGGGCAGTAGGATGTAATTTGTGCATGACATGTCATCTAATTAGGTATTTTAATTAAAAAAAACACTGCTTTTAATCGTCTGTTTTGTTGCTGTTTGTGCAGATTAGCTTTGTTTTAAACATGAAATAAAGTCTAAATGCTTCACCTAATACCACCAGTTGTTCACTGTGCATCACCTTAGAAAACGTGTGTGTGTGTGTGTGTGTGTGTGTGTGTGTGTGTGTGTGTGTGTGTGTTACCTGTGACCTCTGCCTTCTTTAACCTCTCAGCAGATTCTCTATCTGATAAACTGCCTCCATGTTTACCCCCAAAACTCTCCCATGATGCAACGGGCCTCCATCAGCACTTCTGTTCCGCTGCAGTCGGCACTTCACACACACACACACACACACACACACACACACACACACACACACACACACACACACACACACACACACACACACACACACACACACACACATGGCCATGACACGGGACCTTTAAGATAAAAAACTGGATATTTTGTTCAATTTTTGGTCAAATTGTATTCCTTTATTTTAATCTTTGAATAGCTGTTTTGTCTTTAAACCACTGTGTTATGTTTTTAAATATTTGTTTTTAATTGAATTTTTTTGGTCTTTTTCAATGTTTTATTTCATTTACATAAAATCATAAAATGCTGAATGTGTTACAATTTCCCAAATCGGGATCAATGAATTTCTTCTTATCTTATCTCGTGTGTTTAATGAACCTGCAGGAGCGATGCCCTTCCAGCAGGGCGGCGCTGGAGGAGCAGAGAAAGACGACAGGAAGGTAAAATAACCGTTTTAAACTTGCAGAAATAAACTTTACAAAACAATCACTAACCAGCAAATACATCCTGACACACACACACAGACACACACATGCTGCAAACACACTTTTTCCTAAAGTAATAAAGCTCTCGTAAGTCTATTTACATATTAATAATAATACAAATCTAACGCTATAAGTCAGTGTCTTAGGGTGTAATGACTCCTCTCCTCCTGTAGGGGGCGCCCCTCTCCTCCTCCCCCCCCACCAGGAGCTTCTTCCATCGGGCTTCATTCAACCGGCCCTCCGTTCCCCCCTGGTCCCCGGGACACCCCAAAACAAACCAGAGTGTATCCCCACCACAGGAGGAGTCCCCACCTAAAACGGCACGCAGGTACACACACACACACACACACACACACACACACACACACACACACACACACACACACACACACACACGCTGCAAACACAACGTCGTCATATCTTACAATATGTGTGTGTGTGTGTGTGTGTGTGTGTGTGTGGGTGGTGGTGGTGGGCGTTGCCGTGTATGGCCCTTTCTCATTTCTCTAACTCCCCTCCTCGACTCCTATCCTCGAATCCTATCCTCGAGACTTAGTCCCGCCCACAGAAGATGCAAGCGGAGGAGCCAAAAAGGGGAACCGAGGAGAGAGGAGGGGAAGCAGCAGGCG